TTCTATGACGCAGCATTCATACCTGCTGTCAAAAAGTACATTGCTTTTTTCAGAAGAGACGTCTTGGAATCCAGTTGTTTGGCTCATCACTGATAACCTAAATAAATGGAACGAATTGTCATGACATTAAAACACAAGTGTCAAATAACTCTTATATGTCTCTTTGGCAACGAAGGCTAACAGCTAGGTCTTGGTAATATTGAGACATTTCCGTTGGTAGGTTTATTATGACATTGACTATGACTGCTTCGTTGGGTGTAGGGTCTCGTGACCTAAGTACAAATGGCCTATCGTTATAGTAACGATATACCTTTGTGCCTCCCAAGTAGATGTTCCCAACATCCGGTACCGGTACGAGCCAAATTTGACCCCCACCCTCCCCCTCAATTTTTGTGGTACGTCGTGAAAAAGAGTGAAATGGGGGTTCTGCGCCACTTGAGCGAGGTGCCGGAGGAGATGACGTCATTGCTATTCTATAGTGAGGTGCAGGAGTCTTAATCGGGGTTGGTGAAAAGATATGACCTCAATGGGAATCAAACCCACAACAATCTGATCTGGAGTCAGACGCGACAACCATTACGCCATAAACAAGGGGCCATTTTGCATGACAATGCGCGAACTGCTGTGCTGTGAGATATAGTAATGCAGGCTAAACACAGGGTGCCCACGCGTTTAGCTTGTAGCAAGATGTCTCGGTGTTCGATTTATTTATTTATTTTTCTTATAATTTTCACAGTTATTTGAAACTAATCAGCTACATGTAAAATCGGCTAAAAATGTTCTCAAAGGAACAATTTTTGAATAATAGCTCTAGACATATAATTTATTAATAAGCAAAGCAAGACTATGCCCTTGCAGATAATTGATAATTGTTCTATTTTCCCCAATTTTTCTAACTAATCAAACACGATAGGTCGAAAGCACAGATAACAAAGACATCACATCAAATGAATTTTGTGTGGTAGTTTCTCTCACAAGTCAGGAAAGAACTCGAGGATAAAGATAAGCAGATAAACATAATTATACTGCATTTGATACTTTCTTAAATACCCAAGAAAATTGTTCGATTGCTGGGATATCGAGATCCTCTTTCCGGCAAGGATGCATATAAATAAGATATGCATTACTTCGGCTCGAGCATTTGAAATTACAAAAGTTTCGACCAATTTATAAATTACTATGCAAACAATGTTTACAACTTTGTTGGGCAAAAGATATTACTTCCCGAATTTTCCAATCAAAGATCCATAAAGCAAACACAATAAAGACATATAGATGTTATCATTTTTGCTTGCAGTACAGTGGTATTTTCAATACTTTTACAAATGCCTCGTTTTAGGACACAAAAAGTGCCATATTTCGCTACGTCCACCACAAAAACACAGGCTTATGTTTACTGCAAGACTGGAAGCCGTCTACCCTCAAGAAATCAACCAATCAGGTTCTTCGCTCAAAATATCTCCAAGCTAAAAATAGCATCAAACTGTGCACATGAAGGCTATATAGGTAGGATTCCTTCTCTTAGTTCATATTCTCTTGGTCTGAGCCTATATCAAATCGTTTCAGAAGACGAAAAAGCAGGTCTTTGAGCATATTTATCAGAGTATCGCCACATGATCGAAACTCTATACAGTACAAATGAGCTCAGGTATAGCGCGCATGCGCAGCAAAATGGGCCTTTGTTAAGGTCTTTCACGAATCCATACAATTAAGATGTTGATTTTGTTTCTCTGAGTGATTTCTAATTACAATTAAAGTTGAAGTAATGTTTCAAATACGATTTGCTGTATTCTATTGGGGTTTCAAAATCCGAGTGGAATTTCAAATGCCGAGGCGTAGCCTATGTTTGTATGAAACATTTTATAAAAATATCGTAACAAAACGACGTTCAGAACGATTGAGAGCGGTCACAAAGTCAATACCCAAGTGGAAAAAATTCTAAGCTAACTGTAACTGAGATCAAAATTTATTGATAACAGAAGAAAAAACTATAATGTAAAGCTAACTTTAAAATAGTTTCTATGAAAAAAACAGTCTTTTTGGAGAGTCCTCTTCTGTTTCAAGTGACAATTCTCTCTTAAGCAATGATCTACTGACAATCAAAACATCGTACTTAGTTAAATAATGAAAGGACTTGTAAGTAAACTTATTTTGTATTCACATGCAATGAGCGTTTTATGTATAAAAAATATTTTTGAAAAAAGTTTTTACTGTTTTTCCTTGGGCAAGTTTGGCTCGTACCGATACCGGATGTTGATGAACCCTAATTTCATATCTACTCTACCACCTAAGAATTTTGTAATCACTTGTATGATTTTAGGCTGGCGTTTTCAGCCGTGAGGATGGCAATAATTTATTGATATTATGGCGTTACCTGCATGTGACAGATATATCACTGCTTGGCGTCGGAATCTCCTGATTAAAACAATCTTTGTAGGCAACGGCAAAAGACTTCCTGGAACAAAATTGGTCACTGTCCTTATAAAGTT